ATGTTAGCATTAAACACTGTATGTCATATATAATTTGCAGTGTCATGACTACTGCTCAGTTCATGGATAACATGCAGCAGTACCTTTGCAAAATAAGCATATGCCCAGGCTATTCAAAGCTGTAAGCAAAGATGTTTGTTGGATTTCTAAAAAGTAGATTTTGAAGTGCCTACTAGGTGAAAAAATGATTAAGATTTGTATGGATAGGGTATCTATTATAGGGTAGCTGTATAGAAAAACAGAACCAAAATTTCAGATGTTTCCCAGATCCATACATGAATAAGTCCCTAAAATTTGGATGCTGGGCTGGAAATACAAAAGGATCCAATTTACTTCTGGTCTCAGTCAGGATCTTAAAAACACATGGCAAGTCGTATTACACTTTTGTATGATGTTTGCTTCTGGTCCTCGCTGGATTGAGGAAGAGGGGAGGCATACACAGGGGGCTTTAGTCCCAGAGTTCATCTTGGAAAGTACTCTTTTGCATTAGGATTACATAAGGTCATATAGCACTTCTTAGTGGAGAGTTCCACTCTCTGGTCTGTGTCCTTTTGATAAAGTTAAAGTGACCAGTAATGACTTTGAACTTCCAAAATGGTTGAAAGTTCAGCAACACTTTCCCTCAGCTATGCACAGTTAGAAGATGCCCATTTTTGTTTGTCATAGAAGACTTGTAGCCTTACCCTGTCTTGATTGCCAGTGAAAAAACTAAATATCGTGCCAGAGGTGAAGGTGTCCAACCTACAGAGACACTGTCTTCAGATTCAGTTCATACAATCTGATACTAATTTAGGGCCCAGTCAGTGAACTGCTGACCATTTTGTAATATCCTCTGTTGGCTTTGGAATAAGGGTTTGTAGGATCAGATTGTTAAAATCATTTGATTCTTGCTGATCATGAGATCTTAGCCCTACTCATATTTCTCGAATTAAACTTAAGAGTCCTGTGGGAGCTTTGCCATAACCTCAGTAGGAGTCTGAATTCAAAAAAAAGTCAGAGGCAAATAATAGATAATTCAGTTCACGAGGAGTGTGCCAAATTTCTCCCAAATACTCTGTAACTAAGGTGCCTTCTAATAGTCAGCAAATATCTCTGCTTTAGGAAAGGAGTTGTTTCAGAGAATCCAGTTGAACTACTGCATATTTCATTATTTTAAAACTGTCTGCTATTGAGTCTGTAGGGATTTGGCTTTTTTTCTCTGTGTTTCAGAGGTATTTTGAGTAGCCTAGAAGCTCTGTGCTGTAACTCACAGTATTTCTAGGTTGTGGTCCATATGCTCAGACAAGCTGTGTTTTGTAAAACTGAATAGTTTGGGGGGTTTTTTGTTGTGGGTTGGTTTTTTTTAGTGTCTGAAGTTGTCATCAGGTACATTTGGAGAGAGATTTTTACAACCTATATGCATTCAGAGGTAGGCAATGATTTTAGGAGTTAGACTTCTGGTGTTGCTGCTGGTCAACAAGCTCTAAGTGTAGCTGCTCACAGTTAGTGGCCAGATCAGTGCAGTCCATTTGTTGGACTTTTCCAACAAGCCCCTCACTTCCAAGGCTCTCTGAGGTTCCTCATGCTTTGCACTATGAAACTGAATTACTTATCTCACAGTAGATTTCACCAAAGGGCATCTGTATGGTTTAGTAGTCCAAGGTGCACCATCCTCACTGATTCTTATAATCCACTGTGTGAATATTTTAGATTTGTCTCTCCACAAAGCTCCACAAAACATTTTTGTACAGGACATACAAGCAGAAGTTGTGTGTTTCTTTCACATCTTTGATCACAGTGCTTATTCAGAAGTAGTTTGATTATTTACTGCAGCTGCAGCTGAGCACTTTGTTTAAAGGTACTGGGAAGGTGGTGGTGTTTCTACAGAAAGTTGTTATGGCCAAGACATTCTTGCACTTTAATTCAACTTCAACAGCAACAGAAAAAAAAAAAGCTTATTAAAATAAAATATCAAAAAAATGCTCCAGATGTGATGTGTCAAGTAAAAATTGTGCTAATGGTGTAAGAATAAGATAGCTGCTGCACTTTACCTATAAGATGTTTTGGTTTAATTGACATTTGCCAAACAAATGCAGCTTGAGAGCCACATCCATTTCACCCACTCAGCTGTTCTAGGTGCCTCTTGAGGAAGTTTATCAAAGAACTTCTTACAATGTCTTATCAATCTTTGACTTGCACCTCAAGTGCCTCAGCAGCTTGTCAAGGTTCCCTGGATGAAATTACCAGCAAGACATTTTCAACTGACATCAACAGCACAAGCCTTTGCTTTGATTGCCACTGACCACAGTTGCAGACATGCATCCTCTTCCCAGAATAGAGGAGCTGCTCTCTGCTTTGCTCTCTTTGGGTCAGGACCAAAGGAGAGATACTTAATCATTTTTGTATCTGGGAAATAACCTTGATTCTGTCTAAAGTCTTATTATGGTTTGTAAAGCAATTAAGTAGGACTTAGGACACTGTTCTCCCAGACAGAAAGGCCTTAGGACAGAGAAATATAGTGTATTAACTGGATATTAATGCTGTTTCCAGATTTGAGAGGTTTTATTATTGGTACTGTGCCTATTTTGGGTGAAAATGTACTAGTTCCACACATAAAATATTTCTCTTCAGATATGGTTAGACAAACAGGAGTCATTCAGCAAGACATTGACAAAATATATCAAACTGCTTATATGGAAGTGTTAATCAGCATTTGGATCCTGAGATATTCCATATTGCTAGTGCAGCACATTAGTGAAGGACACTGTAAACAGCACAGTTTTAGTTAAAAAGCTGATTCCAAGATGAAAGATAGATTAAATGTGCTCCAGCCTATATGAGGAATTCCTCATGAGGAATTAATGGCAAAGGTTTTCATAATCTTTCATGCTTTGGCTGAAAATATTAGCACCATAAAAATTCTTCAGGGGGCAGAGTTGAGGTGGTAGCTGCAGAGTGATCAAAACATAAAAGAGGCACAATTTTCCCTATTTATGGAGAGACCTCTTTCAAATCTGCCATGTGATGGGTTTGAAATGCAAGTTTAATGTGCTCTCAGTTTCTCAGACAGTCATCTTTTACAGCTTCGTTATTAATAACCATTTCATCTTAGCCAGCGCTTTCTTTTTTTCTGAGCTCTTGATAATTCATTTATCTTACTTGTTTAGCATCAATCTAAGAAAAAATACTCAGATCATAAAGTCAAGGAAGCATTCCACATTCATAACCAATGTAAAAGCCAGTCTCCAATAAATTTTGCAGAAATGTTTAGTCTACAGTTGTTGGAATTAAAAAGTAATCAGTGTAAATAGCATATAAATAGCAAGTAAATAGTGTGACTGGGGTTCACATTTAACCTGTATGCAGGAGTGTGTGAGCTGTAATTTTTCCTCCCAGCACTGTAAGAGTAATGCTGAGGCAGTTCTCATGGCTGTGATAGTTGTAGTATGGTTCTTTATTGCTGTCTTTCTCTATCCTAACATGATGTGCTTTGCACTGATATTTTGCCATGTTTCTCACCACAGTCATGCTGATGTTCTTCAGTGAGAAGCCTGCAGCAAAAGCTGAAAGATTGCTTCTGTTGATTAATTAAGTTAATTCAGATGTCTGGAATATGCAAGAATGATTAATGTTTCTTTTCTGATGTGTATTACTTTGGAATTAATGGCATAAGTCTAATTTCCCATCATTTAGACCATGCATGTAGACTTTTAAAGTTTATCCCAGTAGCATAAATTGTTGGGTATAATGTTGAGAGCATTTAAACTGAGTATCACAGTTGTGACATGGCAAAGAAGAAACAGTGTCTGGAATAACTGGGTCCTTGACATGAAATTTTTGTAAGTTGAAAGCTTCTACCTTGAATTTGTATTTTAAAAAGTAAATTATCAAGCAATACACAGCCAAGGGTATTAGTAGATTTTGTTGTCTGTTTTAGTCTGTGTTTAAAAGCAAATTCTTTGGTAATAAAATTTAAAATCTATTAGCAGAGCCTTTAGAGAAAGGGTTGTGTCTTTCCTGTGTACTTAAGCAGTGTCTGATGTGGTTTCACTCTCAAGATATTCCTATGTTTTAAAATAATATGTAAGTCTCATATTGCATTCAGTTATGCACATGTATGTGGCAGGAGTTTCTAAACTTAAGGACTTAAAATTGTAGTCACATAGATCAGGAAAGTAGGAACAAGTAGGAACAGAAGCACCTAAGTCACCAAAGCAATGACTTGCCAATGAGGACAAAGGGAGTGCACTGCCCAGCTGGATATTGAATCTGTATTTCATCCTCCCCTGGCTAGTGTCTGATCACAAGTCACTTTTTCCTATGCAGGAGATCCTAGTGGCATTTGCAGAGAGCTCATCATTCCAAGCAGTGCAGCACACAGGGCTCTGCAGATGTGCTGACATGAGAATCGTGTTCTGGAAAGGAAATGGTGTAGGGCTCTGCAGATGTGCTGATACAAGAATCGTGTTCTGGAAAGGAAATGGTGGCACTAGCCAAATGGCTTCATGAAGGATAACTGTAATATTTGGCAACTTGGGATACTCAAGCATCCCTAAATTGTTTGGTGCTTCTGCATTGTGTAATGTATGATTTTCTGTGTCTGACTGTGTTTGTCCTGCCTAAATCATTAAATAGTGGATTGAATGGGAAGAAAGTGGAGGAAAAGCACTTCCTCAGTGTCCATGTGTGTTTGGTGTGTGCTGCTGGCTGGGTCAGTCCTGTGACCACCTGTGAGAAACTGTTGGGAAAGTTTTCCAAGCTGTCTTTGATTCTTCCTTCTTTTCTTGCAGCATAAACATACCAAGTGTTCACACGAAGTTTTCCAAGACTGGTTTGTGTTTGTTGGGGTGTTTTTCCCCACAACTACTAATGTAACTGTTCTTTTCAACAGCTTTATCCACCTGGAATCAGAGAATAACTAACAGTGTTCTCTGCACCTTTGGGGGTTTTCATTGGGCACCAGTATGTGAAAGTGATGTCCTCTGATCAAAGTCCTTGTGTTTGTGTCCCATCCTCTACAGCCTTGCGGAGTCGGTCGGGACGGTCCATCATCAATGGAAACTGGGCGATTGATCGCCCGGGGAGATACGAAGGTGGTGGGACAATGTTCACTTATAAACGCCCCAATGAGATCTCCAGCACTGCAGGGGAGTCATTTTTAGCTGATGGTCCAACAAATGAAGTCCTTGATGTCTATGTGAGTTAGTATTTAGATTAATCTTGCTGATGGAAAAAATTGTTCACTTCATTGTTCACAATAAAATTGCATTCAGTGCCAATACTTTGTTTAATTTGAAACATTATTTCTGATATTTTACCTGTTTGCTGTTGTTTCCATCTTGCTCCAGATCATAGGAAATCTAAATCAAGCCTTTTTCTTGCAGACTTTACTGATCCACTAAAACTAATTTTACTTGTTGTGCTGCTTTCAGTTGCTTAGTAAAATAGATTTAAAGCATACAAATGTGTGCAGAGTTGTGGCTAGCATAGAGCAGTGTCAGTCTGGCTGCACTCAGATGATGTCTTCATTCAGTTGAAGATGAACGTGGCATTCTTTGGAGACAGTCGTTAATCATTGTTTCTGTCCTGACCAATGATAAATGTTATGTAGCTTATCAGTTCAAGTTCATGTGTAAGTATTAGTAATAACAAGTGGAAGAACTCACTGTGTGCCTGGTTTTATTTTTAGATGATACATCAGCAGCCTAACCCGGGTATACATTATGAGTATATCATTCCAGGAGACAATGTCATTAGTCCTCAGCTGCTTGCTCACAGGAGACCAGGTAAAGAGCCACCATTTCCTATTATTAAACACATTTTGTTATCCAGTGAGATATTGGAGAAATTCATACCATTAAATTCTGTGTAAATGCTGCCATTGATGTGGGAGAGGCCCAGAATTTCACCCTACATGTTGAAAGAGAAGTCAGCATAGATTTGGGAACTTCAGTGAATTAATCCTGGCAGGGATTATTTATACTTTATTTGGGAATCTGGAATTTCTCCTCTCAGTAACAATTTTGTTGCTAAAATGTAAGCCATGAGCTTGCATGAGCTGGAGTGTTGTAACCATGTCTCAGAAATGAAATAGAATATGATTTTCCTTTTCAGAGTTTGAGATAATTTAAAACAACCCTTCACAGTTTCTCTTTCCTCTCCCTACTGGAGAGGATCAAAGAGAATAGTGTTTCCTTCCCAAGCCAGAATCTGGACAGCTTGTACTCCTGACTGAGCTGTGGATATGTGCTGCATGTACTCTTACAAAGTTCTGAAGGACAGTAAAAAATGTGCAAGTGAATTTGGTCCTAGTTTTAATGCTCGTGACTTGCCTTGACAAATTTCTAAGTGTGTTTGTAGTCTTCATAATGAGGAGCAGCTGTGCTGTGCCATGGGCAGGCCCAGAATGCAGGGCATGGTACAAAACAAAAAAGCTTTGAGAAATCTTGACACTGGGTGCATTAACACTACAGCATGTTTGGAGATTCTTCAGTGTTTAGTTTTCAATGTATTAGCTGGCTGAGACTTGGTTATCTTAGTTTAAAACAACACAGTCTTTGCAGGTCACTATTAGGCAGTCCCTACATAGCAGATGAAAGTGGCTTTCAAGTGGAATGATGCTCCAGTTCTGATTATTAGTGGATGGAAGCATAGCCTGATACTTGCATGTGAGGCTCATTATTTTACTTTTCTATTATTGTCCATCATCAGGGGAGCCACTGAATGGTCAGTTAGGAATGCCAGAAAGCACAAGTCATGAGGATGAGGATTTGCATAGAGAGACAGACATTCTCACTGGACAGTCAGCTGGAACTTTTCCAGTTATTCAGCCAGGAAGATTTCCTTCTCATCAGCCAGAGAACCAGGTTCCTGCTATGCAACCACCAAGACAAAACCGAGAACACAACTGGAAACAGGTTGGAAAAACTGAGTGCACTACTACATGTGGGAAAGGTAAGTGCTTTGGACACCATGCACAGAAAATCGATGGCACACTGGGAGGGTTCCAGTGTGGGAGAGGAGAAGCAAAGAGGGAAGGTGCAGTGTGACTATTCAGCAAGTCTCATGTGTGTAAAGCGTGGCTAGACTTGGTGTTTTCTGTTATCTTACTAGCAGAAGTCATGTCAGTACCATTACACGTGCTTATATTTACATCAGTAGAAACAGCAAAATTACAAACATGAAATACAAATCATGGAAATTATAAGGAAAGATAGGAAATTTGCCTCTGAAAGGAAATATTTCAGGATTTGAGAGCAGGAGTCTGACTCTGTTGAGACTCAATGAACATTTCTTGGGATCTTGGTGTGAGAAGCCTTCCTGAATCTCTGATGCCCCTAAGGCATTTCAAGTCAAACTAGATTATACAGGCTGACAAAGAAGGGAGTGGAAAAGTCAGAAGGAAAATCTTTCATTATTTAAGGCTTTGTTTTCATTTTGGATCATTCAGTACAGGACACTTTCTTCTATTTCCTTTTCTCCATGTTATCCATTTTCTGCTACTGTATTTCTTCTTGCAGAAATGTAGATGATGTATGGTTTTTAATTTTTTGTAATGAGCCACCAAAGCTCAATTGCATTAGGAAATTCTAAGTTGGAAAAGAAAGAAAGAAAAATTATTTTTGTGCTACCTAAGGAAAAAGGGAAGATAAATCAACAGTTTTGATGAAAAGCTGTGAGATTTCAAAGCACTTCAAGTGAAACTTTAAAAGACTATTACTTTTTACAAAGTGAAAATGCTTCCCATGAGAACTGCCACAAACTCTTGTCCCAGATTTCCACTTAAGATGACTGAGCAGCTAGATCAGTTGGAATTTGGACAGTGTGGAAACTGCTATTGCTCCTGTCAAGGAAGTGGAGTGGCACATCATCCCTCTCTGTTGTTCAGAGAGCAGAGCACTGGTGCACTGTAAATTCCTGCAGTCCTGGAGCCACAGAAACTTTGTACAGATTTGCCTGTAAGGTCTTGCAGGAAGAGCACCTCTCTTCATCTTCTCTGAGCACAGCCTGTGCCTTAAAACAGCCTCAAAAAACAGGTGTCTCAAAAAAGGTTGTCTACACCTTGGAAATGGCTTGGGGTGTATAAGTTTGTCACTTTCTAAAAGAATAGGAGGGAGGTTAAAGACTGCGAACTGGTGGGTTTTCCTTAGGCTTCAGAAAATATAATAGCTTTTTCTGAAGTATTAGTGTAAGGGAGCTGGTGAGACACAAAGCTGTGGATTAAATTATTGAACAAATATTACATCTGTGAGCATTGCAATTTAAAATTTTCCATCCTGAAGTTGAAGTGTGCCATCCAACAGTTCCCACCAGCTACAGCCACCCTTGTGTGCCTGCCTAAACCACCTGAATTTTGGTTTTTCTCTGATTCTATTTCTGATTGCAAACACTGAAAATTGACACTTCTGACTTGGTCTTCTTGTTGTCCACTACATTACCCCAAAGTCTGAAGTATATTTGCTAATATCAAGATCAGTCAGGATAGTTTTACTTTCAAAACACAGCCTTATCCAGAAGGATCACACATCATCCATGCATTTCAAAGGCAAAATGACAAACATGAGATCTGGGAAGAAAGCATTCCAGGAAATGGAGGAGAGCATTCCAGGAAGTTTATGGGAAGAAGTGTAAACTGTGTATCTGCCTGTCTGGTTGAATAGCATTCCACTTGTGCTTATTTCATTCTGTGGAAGAAGGTTAAGCCTATGCAAAATATTTCTCTTTCAGTCCAAAATTAATTTTCATGTTTGTGGTTTACTTCTCTGCCTAATTCTGAATTTCTGCACTAATAAGGCTTCAATACCAATAAATAATTAGTCATTCAGAGTTTTTTGTTGTAGGATAGCCTAAAACCACTAAAATCACCCAATTTTTAAGTCAGTGAGCCTAGCTTCAAGTGGTTGAGTTGGCAGTTGTTGGTTGTCCTTTACCACTTCTCTTTGGTTGAGTTAATGTACTTTGACTTTTCACTTCCCAAATCCAAGTAGACATGTCAGCACCATGCTCTTTGTCAATGTTTTGCTGGTCAATTTGCAATAGTAATAGAAATGGAGTTCTGTCTTTCTGCTCTAGTATGAAAGACTGAGCATTAAATATGGAGTGGTAAGTTTTGGCGAGTGTGTAGTCTACAGTAATGGTTAACCTGTAAGCTTTACCTGATGAATCTTCTCAAAATCAGGGTAAAGTGAATAATGTTCTCACGTATTTCCTGACCACATAACTCTGAAGTAAGGAGGCTTAGTCTCTTTCCAGAAGCATGACAGAATGGCTGCTAATTTTTTCCTCCTGTCAAGCCTGTGTTGTGACCACTTGGCTGCATGTTTTTTGAATTGCCTGAAACTTAATGTTTGTACTCTGCACTACAAAGATCTCATACAGACCAAGGAACATGTTTTCTCAGCCTTTCCTACAGTGTTTCTCAGCCTTTCCTACCGTGCCATGCTGTACTTTCCACATACTAAATACTTCCCACAACATTACAATGTCAATAGTGCAACATTCAGCTCTTACATTTAGAAGGTTTGGATAAAATCTTAGTCTGTCCTTCCTGTTGTTAAGTTACCTGTTTCCTTTCTCCATTGGTGTTGGATGCTGCTGTTGTGACTGCAGAGTCTTTTGCAATTCTTCACCTACTTTTCTTGTTCATTTCAGGATCACAGTACCCAATCTTCCACTGTGTCAACAGAGTCACTCATGAGGAGGTACCTGAGAGTTACTGTGACAGCAGTACCAAACCCATTCCAGAGGAGGAGGCCTGCAACCTCTTCCCATGCCCAGCTTTGTAAGATATTCCAGTTTCAGTCAAGTGAAAAATGCCAATGGCATTGATGTTTTGCATGTGAAAGAGGTTATTTGAAGTAGGAAGCTAGTTTCTAATGCTCTAAGTGCTATTACAGTGTCTGAGATGTCTGACAACAGTTTCCCAGGGCATGTCAGATACTCAGGAACTTCTGAACCTATTTGCTTGATCTCTTCTTTCACCAAGCATTTTGCTCACCTTTTTCATTCTAACAACTCATGTTAATTCAGGATAATGTCAAGAATAAAAACAAAGAAATGTATCTAAAGAATACAGAGATTTTATTTGCTCTTCTCAAGAGTTCTGAAATAAAATGTGTGTACAGTTCAGATCCTTCCCTTCATGCTTGAAATGAAAACTGAGAGGGGGAAAAATGACATATTTATACAAAAGTGACTAAAGAAATACAGTGAAATCTTGGAATGAGAAGAATATATCTAGGGATGCTTTTCATCTCTGAAATTAATTGTCTTTATTCATTGCTTATTATTTGCTGTTTCAGTTATACTGATCAATGAGTGCCTGGGTGCACTCTGTGGCTTTGGTGGTATTGCCCTTTTTTAGAGCCTTTGCTGCAGAAAGCTTTTAGGCATAACATCTCAAATTTTTGGGAAGTGTCCCTAGGGCAATAATATATATTCCATAAGGAATAGTTATGCATGCAGAGTCTCAAGTGTTATTTTATAGCATTCTCTACCCTCAGAATCCTTTCATTCAAGTTGTGTTGAGATTGGCATTAGAGAATTCTTTCCAGGAAAAAAAAAAAATCTTTTTTTTTTTTTTTTTTTTTTTCAGCTGGGATATAGGGGAGTGGTCTGAGTGCAGCAAGACCTGTGGCCTTGGTATGCAGCACCGACAGATCCTGTGCAGGCAGATGTATGCCAATCGCACCCTGACAGTGCAGCAGTATCGCTGCCACCACCTGGACAAGCCAGACACCACCAGCACTTGCCAGCTGAAAATCTGCAGTGAATGGCAGATCAGGACAGAGTGGACCTCAGTGAGTAGAATTGATTCTTTGGGGGTATAAAACCCGAGAAAAGAAGAATTCTTTTCTTCCAGGTATCTTTAATGAAATGTGAATGTTTTGTTGGAAGCAAGGAAGCAGAATGTGAAAAGCCTTGGAAATATGCAAGTCTTAGTTCAATAAACCCCTGCTCAACTGTGAGCATTAAAGTTTCCTAAATAGAAAAAAAAGCTGAAAAAAGGTGGTTGCATAGCACACATGTGTCTATACCAAAGTAGGGAATGTATTTTACACAGTAAATAACTTGGACATGTAAATAGGGTAAAGCACATACATGTGTCTGTACCGAAGTAAGGAAAGTATTTTACACAATAAATAACTTGGACATGTAAATAGGGTAGACATTTAGCATTCTAAAACAAGGACAAAACAATGATGCTGCCTTTGGAAGCTCTGCCAGGTACCCTGGTATGCAGGTACTGCAGACTTTAATCTTCAAATTCCCAGAGACTTCCCCCTTCAAGTCTAGAGTGTTTACAGAACTCATCCAAACATTTCATGCATACACAGCAGAAATTTGCTTCCATCTTGTACCATAATCTGGATGCTTCATGTCATCAGACACAGATACCCATAGCTGTCCACACTCTCTGAGGCTGAAGAAAAGAGAGCAGAAGACCTTTACTAGTAAAAGGGACTCAGAAGTTGTGTTTCTGTGCATTGCTCTTGCTTCATACCTGCCCTGATAAACCACTGCAGTCCTTTTGTAGAGTCCTGATTCAACCTCCCTTTTGTTGCAGTGTTCAGTGCCTTGTGGAGTGGGGCAGAGGACTCGAGATGTGAAATGTGTCAGCAACCTTGGAGACATTGTTGATGATGAGGAATGTAACATGAAGCTGCGGCCAAATGATATTGAGAACTGTGACATGGGGCCCTGTGCTAAGAGCTGGTTCCTTACAGAATGGAGTGACAGGGTAAGGCTTCTCATCATCTTTGTGCTGCCAAATCTTCTGAAACAACCTAGGTGTGTCAGAATCAAAAAATACACATCTGTACAGCCATAAAGGACTAGTCTTCTTTTCCGTGTTTATCCTTGATCTCTTAAACAGGCAAAAACAAACAAAAAAAATAATGATCCTGAAGGCATCTTGAGTTTGTGTTAAGATACAGGAATGCATAGGAAGGGCAAGCGTGTGGGTACATGGCCAAACATCTGGATTTAGAATTGGCTCTGAGTCTGAACTTCCCAAAATATTGAGTGTGCTGAGATTTATTATTCTGCCTTGCTTAGCTCTGCATCTCAAGATTCAGGCTCTTAAAAGGTTCCCCGGTTTTTTTAAGGGATGCACATTTGAGGGTTTCCCCACTGTTTTTTTAAGGGATGCACATTTGAGGCCTGATGTCTGGGTTTAAGTTCAAGCCATAAAACAATTATCTAATAGCTGTGAAAAGAAGGGAATGACTTCATAAACACAGACAGGCTTGAGAGAGGCTCTTGTACTTTCTGAATGTGGATGTTGCAGCGTTTTTTTTATTCCAGTTTGTGAGACTCTGCATGAAAGCAATAAAACCAGTGGTGATTTACCTTGTTTCATGATTGGACTCAGAGTTGTTTTTCAATGGTGATATTTATATACTTTAATTAAAAGGCTCACAAACAAGGGCTGAGAAAAGCCTGGTATTTTGGTCCCTCTGGTGGATGCTTGTTTCATCTGTAAACAAGTTGAGCCTTCAGTCTGTAAACTCCTGGTTGCATCTCCCTTTTCTTTGACAGGCAAATCATATAATTTATCATTGAAGCTGTAAGATTACATTCATAACTTCATTGTTTCATTATTAAATCCTTTTATGGTATTACCATTGAAAGTTGGAATGTCAGGCTCATAGATTATGCATTAGTTTGGACACTTGGAAGATTTTCCACATGGTTTAAATACAAAGGTGGAGCAGGAACTTAACAAGTAAGACAGGTACCTGGGATGTCACATAATTTTAAAAAGACTGATCAGAGTCTTGCTACAATTAAAGGCCTGCAAAACTTTCAGCCTCCAGACAACTCAAATAGATTTTATAATGAAAGCAAAAAGACAGACTAATAAATCTGTGCTGTTGTCACTCCTCCCCAGTGTACATTCTTGCATAGGATGGACAGAAAGCTCCCAGGTGAAGTATAGTTATATAATATTAGTGCAAAGGGCAAAGATTTTGCTTGTAGGGGTTATGGCAGTACAGGGGGTTTTGGGGGTTTTCTTTAGTTGTAGAGCTGTTCTTTGTACAATGCTCTTAGAGTGATATTTTACAAGAGAGAAAAATGCATTTTACTCTCAAAGACATCTTGGAAAAACTGACCCAGCTGCTATCAGCTAGTGCAGTTCCATCACATAAAGCACAGACATTCCAGTGAAGATTCTAGCATCATTTTCTTCATTATTCTACACTGATACTTTGTCCTCTGCAGAATTAAAGGCAGTTTTTGTGCTGAAGGTTATGACTGTAAAATGTTATTATGCTTATTTATACGTGTTAAATGAGACATAGAAGTGAAGCAGGTAATGTGGAAAATTTGGAGTTTTTTTCTTACCACAAACATTTTAGGGTTGGAGAGTAAAGAATGGATTTTGTTACCTTCTCAGCTTATATAAGTGTACGGATTAATTTCTTCCAAATGCTTGCTACTGTAGTTGGCATGATTCACCATCACTCCTGCCAGCAGTGGGTTTGGAGTTTGAGTCACAAAGAGGATGGAAGGAACAGCTTATTTCAGGAAAAAAAGTAGATTTGGGCTGGAAGGTGCAGGATCTTCTAAGATTCACACATAGCTCATAACTGGGATGTTCAGAGGCACTTGGTGGCAGTGATTCCAGTGGAAGTCAGTGAGGTATAGGAGTAGTCAATAGCTTTGCCAAATCAAACCTTTAGCTTTCTCATTGTGCCTTTCAAGGGCTGTTTTTTGGGATCAGCAGTCTCTCTTTGTAGAGGAGTGTGTTTCTATTGAAAGGCAAGAGGAGAATTCTGTCATGGAATGGAAATGGGCATTCCCAGGTGTATGGACTTAGCACGTGTAATTTCCCCAACCAATTATTTCAGAAGTACTTTAAGCCAAGCCACACTTCAGCAATAAGCATAGATCAGCGATGGGCAGCCACAAATGGTTCAGATAAGCAGCCAAAAGTTCAAATGCTTTAAAAAAGCTTGTTCAAACCTCTTGAGTCTGCAAAACCGTGGTGGAAATCTCACAAGAACAGACCTTCTTTGTGAGATTTATTACATGCCTACTTCGAGTCCCAGCTGGAAATACCACAGAACAGTCTTTCCCATTGTATTTTGACATTTCAGCCGTGGCTAGAAATAAGAGGTAAAAGAACTTATCATAACTTTTGAGAACGTTGGAACTTTGAAATGGTTGAGTTCAAACTTGGGTACAGCTGTAAGAGAAGGCCTAGTCTGTACTTTTCTGAACCCACTTTGCAAACACTTAATGTGTACTGTTGCCCATGCAGCAAGCAGAGATTTCCAGAAGCCTGTCAGAGATCAGTTAGGCACATACTTTCTCTTTCAGCAAGGGATATATCAAACTCCCTTGTCCAGATTTATGTGATGCATGGGGCATTACCATACAGCCTTGGGTAATTAGTGAAACATCAAGAAAAAACACAGTAACATAAAAATTAGTTGTCTTTGCTGCCAACAGATGTCAGATCTCAGGATTTGATAACTGTGGTGCATAGTCATGCAGAATTTGACAAAGGGTATTCTTTAGCACTTTTAAGCAAAGGACAGGATCTACTTTAGGAATGGTGGAAAGATTTGGGGGTTCCTTATTTTACTGAAACCTTGCAAAGTTGTAATTAATGCAAAAAATCATGCTAGTTACCCTCATATAGTTTATAGTATATTTATATAGTTTCTGTGGTTCTGAATTGGAAGATTATATAATTAAATTTCCCTAAATGTAACTTCAGCAATATAACATATGTGCACTTAAAAACATAACAAATTTGTGTGCAGGAGTTGTGTTTCCTTCCCAGGGTGGGCTGTATGTAGCTTTACTCCCTGAATAACACTTGGCTGCCTTCTTGCCATGCTCCCCACTCTTGTTTTCCCACACTGTATTTATGTATTTTATGGCCCACCTGTTTTGCCCCATGGCACTGACCTTCCTGGATTCAGTTTCTGCACACACTGATTCTTTATTTGTGTCATTAAAACCCCTACATGTTCCTAAAACAATAGTTCTTGATTTGCATTATTTTGATAAGCAGGTATCAGGATTTTTTTGTTACACATCCACTTTTGCCTGCAAAGCTTCTGAGATGTGTAGCTACCATGTGCACACTGGTGAAACATGGAAGGAAGGAAAGCAGTTCATCCTTAGGAAACAAACCCTTCTTTTCTGGAAGGTATATACTATGTTAATTGTGAGGTAGTTCTAAACTCCATGTTCTGTTATCCCCCAGGCTCAGTCTTGAGAGAAACAGAGATTTTAACTAATTTCAGTGGTAGCAAATGAGGCTGATCTTAGTTTCTGTGTCTTTACATTTATTGCTCTAGTTGAGTATAAATAAGAGAATTAACTTAAGTTTCATGGCTTTGACTTCTCCATGATCTTTAACCTCTTTTGCCTATAGAGAGTCTGGACAAACCTCTGTGATATTTTTATGTGCATTTGTAGAGAGATGACTTCTGTCTCATAACTCTCCAACGATGTCATACTGCATGGAAACTGCAGAGTTCCACCAAACAGCATCCATTAATCAGTAGAGTAAATCTGGTGAACCTTACTGAACTTAGCGACAAAGTGGGATTGATGGGAGCAGATGAGATTCTTGCAAACATTTCACATGACTGATTCTTTGACAGCTCTAATTGCTGGAAAGTTTACTTCTCCTATGGGTCAGAAGTGGGAAACTGCATTTTCCTGATTTATAGCAATGGGAGACTCACCAGTGTTTCCTTTCAGCTAACTGGAGCATTCCCCTCTTGCATTTTTGTTTATTCCTCATTGCCATCTCCTCTCTTCATTTGTTTCTCATTTTATGTTTAGAACCTACTTAGAAAAGAAGCCAAAATACAAACAATTCTTAGATGTTAATGAGATTCTGCGGCCAAAATAAAATCTTGGGAAGAAAGAAAAAATGCTGCACATCAGGGAACATAATCAAAACAAATCAAACACATGCTCTGGATTTCACTCTTCATTAGAAGGAGTTACAGCGATGCTTCTGTAATATCTTCCAGGAGAGAACTGTAGTAAAAAGAGAACTTCATAAAAACCCAGTGCATTATTCCTCACAATTCTTAAGCATTGCCTAACAGGTTCAAGTGGGTTTATTGACCTGTCAAATGTGGAACCATGAATGAGTATTGTAGCTCACACTCTTCTTTCACTGTTTTGTGTTTAAATCTGGATAGTTCACTTAAAATCTGAATCCTGAAAAAAGGAAAAAATCATCATGGAGCCTGTGTGAGAGTTCGTTATTTTTTATTATCACTGTTTATTTGTTTTCAATATAAAATGAAAACATGATAAAACACCCCTTTCCATTGATTTCAGGTGGGAATCATATGGAAATAGAAGATTGGCATTCTTAACTCACTTCATAATTTGCAATGTAACATATAGCCAGGAGAGTTTTGAAGGAGGCATTGATAGAAGAGTGGCCAAGACCTACAGAGATTTCTGTTTCCTTCTCTAGAGCTGATCTTGTTTTGCCACAATTCAGCTGCTTTAGATGAAAATCCCTGCATGGCAGGAAGTAGCCTTGCCAGCTGGGGCCCACGTGTCCCAGGGAGGTTGGCAGGCAAGGACAACCCAGAGTCCAGATTATCAGGCAAGATCATGGTGATGAGGCAGGTCCAAGGTCAAGCTGTGAAATTAGTGCAGTGATGGTACCTGGGGTTAGTCACAGCTCAGTGGTGCTGGGGCAGCTCTGTGGTGATGAGGCAGGGCAAGGAGTTCAGGGTGAGGGATCACTCATGCCCAGGCTGTGGCTGGGGACAGGCACAGCTCTGAGAAGGCTCAGGCAGGGAGTGATGGACAGGGGCAGAGGGTAAAGGGGCCATGAGCAGGGGGATGAGTGGGGGCCCCAGGTGAGGCTGGTCAAGGCTGGTCAGGTGTATTGATGCACTCAAGCCCTGGAAGTCTTTGCAGCTCTCAAAACAAGTGATGTTTATTACATGAGCCAAGGTGGTGAAGAAGTTTTTTCCATAATGTTAATTGCTTCAGAGAGCATTAGTATTGTGTAAGTACCAACCTTGTTACCTACTACATATGAAGAAAGCAGCAGTGTGGATGTAGAAGCAATCATGATCCATCTGAAAGACTAAGACTGTGTTTCAAAATGTTTGGTACCTTGGAAGGATGCCATGGATCTGCTAGACTGATCCAGCACCTACTGTGTGCACAGATGCACACTAAAGGGAAACAATTTAAATCTAGGTATCAGAAAATCTTTTGGCAATGAAAAAGATATTTCTTCCTACACCCCTTTATTTATTCTTCTTTTTGAGAAATCAGTGCAGCTCTCAGTGGTTTTATGTCTGTTGAAAATCTGCCCCAGTCTTGGAACTGTGGCAGAAGTGAGCTCCTGAAATGCAATTCTGAGGTTATTATTAGGAAAACAAAGGTTACATAATCTGTCTAAAATTCCTTCTGAAATGGATTTTCTCAGAGTAGGTCAAACAATACTGAGGAGATTCATAAATGTTTTTGAAAAATAGATTTTTTTTTTGCAGCAGCAGTGTAACATCAGGAAGACAGTTGATAAAAATCTTCAGGTGATGAAGGTTATTTTTTTTTGCAGCAGTGTAACATCAGGAAGATAGCTGATAAAAATCTTCAGGTGATGAAGGTTGAGGTATGATAGACAGAAATCCTGCACAAATGGGGACGTTTTACTCAAACTCAATTGGTTGCTCTTTAAAAATGTAATTAATGCTAGCAGTGATGCTGTGACCTGGGTGAAAGGATGCTCAAGCCTCAGGAGAATTTTTGCTGCCACTTTCTTGTCATCTGGTGTCCCAGTTAAGGGTAATGAGCAGAGCTGGCACATTAGGGAAGGGGAACTGGCACTGTTAAAGGGAGTTTTTTTGCTCTACCCATGCCTTGTGGCTGTGACAAAAATTCAGGCTTCCACTTGCAGTTTTCCAAGTTTGCAGGAACTAGCCTTATTTTCCTGGACTGCTGTTCGGTTGTTTTCCAACAACTATCAGAGCACTGAATGAGGTTTTTTTATTTTTAGTTTTTAATGGGTATGGAAAGCTTCTGAAATTGAACTCATGAGGGAGGGACCTCAGGAAGAGGAAAAATGGCAGAGTCCTTAAAACACAGGCGGAGGTTTCTGGGGAATCTGTGCCAACTAAAACAAGACTGTGAAACAAAATATCTTTAATAATAGGACCAGAATAAAGTTGCAGCTTGTGAAAGTTCCTCATATTTCACAATGTTAGGTTATGGCAGTTACTATGTATTAATGCAAGAAATCAATGGCAGAATTGAGCAAAGTGGGTGTGTCAGTTGTGAAAACCAAAGGGAGAGATTTCATTATCCAAACTCTCCCAACTGCCTGCCTTGGGCTTTGGAAATCCATGGCTTTCACATAGAAGATTTTTGCTGAAAGGAAGAAAAATACATGAAAAAGCAAATACATAATGCAGAAACATTCAGGATTAAGTTTGCTTTATAAATCCTTAGAGGGTAGTTAATCTATAGTAAAATCTTGCAGCAGAGGGTGGGACAACTCTATACCTTCCCATTTGGTATTTCCTTTGTTATTTGATATATAAGCCTAGTTCATACATAATCATTTAAAACGTAAGAGTATGGAGTTTTTCTGGATGACTTTCTAGACTAAACTTGTTTCCAACTCTGGTTTGCAAAGCAGAAAAGCAAACTAGGTTGTCAAATGAAGATTACATAGAAATAAGAAAAGTATTTGCATGGTTCTCTGTGCTTAATGTAATTGAACATATTTGCTGAGGATGAAATGTGAACAGCCACAACATTCATTTCTGCACAGTAGGTCTGAGTTTAACAATTGTATGGGGCTCAGGTAAACAGTCAGGTTACCTAGGAGTGGATTTTCTGAAATGGGTGTAGTTTAGTTTATATAAACAGGAAAATGTTCACTACTAGGACAATTTGCATCATTCTTGTATCTTCAAGAATTTGCCACTTTACTTTGCAAAAGTCTCCTTGGCCATCAAATCTGGTGTGCTGAGGAGGTAAGTATATTTTACATATATATGTGAAAGTGGAAAATTTTGTGGTGCACCAGCAATAAAAAAGGTTAATTATGTTACTTATAGGCATCATTTAAGAGAAGCCTCATCCTTCAGCCAGTGCAAGATCACCTGGCTGACAGCTGAAACGGTCAGAAGAGAAACTCAGAGAACAATTCAAAGGCTGAAATAGGACTGGTGTCTGCAAAGCCATTTATTGAGCTAGTCCTTCCTCAGAGCAGTTAATTGGAATGCAGAAAGATTAATAAAATGAAAATTGAAAGAACTTACAGGCAGGAAGAAGGAAGGAAAAGTAAGAAAGCTAATAGAAAGTTCTTTTCTTTCTAAACTAATCCTTCAGTTTCATTCGTGACTGTAAAGACAAGTTCTACTTGTAGTGTTTGCAGAGGTATGAAACTGTAAGACAATTTGCTACAGCTGAATTACAAATGAAAATAATTAACTTTGCATAAATTAATTTACTTTCATGGCTGTTGCTTCTCTTCGTGTCACTGTGCAGTCTGGAGGGCAAACTAGTGAATATGTCCTGTCTTTTGCTCTCCAGTGTTCTGCAGAATGTGGTGATGGAATCCGCACGCGCTCGGTGGTTTGCATGACAAACCATATCAGCAGTTTGCCTCTGGAAGGCTGTGGCAACAACAGACCCTCTGAAACAACTCCCTGTAATAATGGGCCCTGTGCTGGTAAAGTGGAGTGGTTTGCTGGGGGCTGGACACAGGTAAGCCCAGCTCTGTATCTTAACACATCTGTTGGTTTTCTGCTGGAATTTTAATTTAAAACTTGTATTTTTGTGCAGTGAATATTTGTGCCGTAAGGTATTTCTGCATCTATGTGGAATATTTGGGTATGTTTTCCTGTATTTTGCTGAGTTAATGGTCAATACTTTTCAGCACCTGCAGTTTGTTGTGGTTTTTGATGAAAATAAAGGTTTGTTCTTCTCTTCCTCTGCACTTTGATTTTTATTTTTCATCTATTGACCCAGTGCATTTATAAAATGAAAGATACCTGGATGCTGCTAAGCATTTTCAGATGTTACCTAAAGCAAAGGATTTGCACCTTTTAAACTAGAGCCTTTGTGGTCATGCCTGAATGCAGGGAGATATATACACGTGTGTGGGATTTCCAAAAGATAAATAACGCAAAAAACAATGGCTTAGCCTAAAATTTAGCTTCACCATTTTGTGCTGAAATTCATTATTATAGGCAAAAGAACAAAATTTGGTTAGTGGCCTGTGTATCCTAATGTCCTTTCCTTGAGGTAAATTCTTCCCTTTATCCACATCCCTGTAGCCCTCTTGTTCCAAAGAAATATTTCTGCTGTCAGGAACAAAGGCATTTTAGAAGCTGTCAGCTCCTGCCAAACATTTATGTCCCTTTGTGTAGGCTCTTGTATAGCCTTGAGAGATTTTGGGACTGCTGCTGTCAACTCTTGGGCGAGTTGGTAGGGCAATGTCTCTTGGCTTGGCTGTTAACTCACTGCATTGCAGATTCCAAGAGCCTTCCAGGTGATAAGGAGCTGGAAATTAAACTGGTACAGCTGAGATGGAGATTACAGGGCTACTACTATGCTAGTGCTTTCAAGTGTAAGTGCTAATTATTTGTATTCTATAAGAATGATAACAAATTCAGATGTAAAAAAGACTTACCTGCATTTCCCATAACAGCTAAAATCAAGGCCTGGTTACTCAGACCACTCCAGCAGGTGAATAGGACCTCTGCATCCATTTCTGCTGTCCCAGAGACAGGTGTTCAGTAAGGGCATCCTAACTTGCCTGTTCTTATAAGCTAATTTACCTTCCTTCTTTGCATGAGATTGAGTTATTTGATGCATACCAAAGGTACAAGTCTTTGCCATGTGTCATCTGAAAGCAGAGTCTGACAACATCAGTTCTACCAGCCAAGTCCTGGCTTATAAATGCCAAAAGGAAAGCAGACAGTGAGTAGACCAGAGCAGAAAGGAGCACTGATGGATGACCTTCTGTATCATGCTCTGCTAGAGCTAAGGCTGGATGTTCACATACTGTCTTTTGGAGGAAGCAGTAAAAGAGAGCAGTAACAGAGAGGTTTGGTGTTAAGGAAAGTGCAATTGCAGTACTTCCTGTAGAATTTATTTAGGTGCATTTATCTTAAGGTTCTTCATTCAGCTTGAGGTTTTTGTGGGAATCTGGTAAAGGGATTGTAAATTCTACCCAAAATATAAACAGAATCCCCACTGTTAATAACGTTTGATTGGTTTAGGCTAGAAAAAGCCTCTTGAAAATCATAGTCCTTAATGCAACATAGAAACTAATATGTTGCTGGAATCATCTTCTAAAAACCTTTTTACAAGTGCCAGGAACAGTATTGTGTGTGTATTTAGCCTTTGAAAAAGGGCAGTAAGAATCCAAGTGAGTCAAATTTGCTTTTCAGAACTGGAACCAACACTACATCACACAGATACTTGCAAACATGTAAAGCACACCCTGGCAGATCAAGGCATTTCTAAGAACTGCACAGAATGTGGGGCTTTGTAACACTGCAAAACTCTGCTCTAACCTTATAACCCTCAGAAGTTCAGTGCAGTGCATACAATCCTGCTTCAGCAAGAAGCAGTAACTGTTTATGGAGAAAGTGAGTTATGCTTCTCTTTTGATTAGAAAAATAAATACCAGTTTCTGTTTGTAGCTACAGGTAAAGCTACACTTTCAGATCTCTCCAAAAATACACTTAGTCATATATCTTAATCATAAAGATCATTAGAAATACATTTTTTAGCCTGTGGTGCCATGTGGAATAAAAATTCACAGATGTGTCTTTTAATTGCTATAACCATTTTTAAGATCAAAAATTAAATATGTAATACCTGATGCTTACAGTCAGTAGTCACTTGATGAGTTAAGTCATTGCTATATCTTGATGCTTATAGTCAGTAGTGACTTGATGAGTTAAGTCATTGCTATATCCTTCAGCATTTTCTTGTACTGGTACCCAACTGGGACTTCTGGCTGCTGTGTTAGTACTCCATGCAAAGAATAATTGTAACCCAAGGTTTATCTGGGCTACTATTCTGATTCTGAAAGATGAAAACTTTACTGCAGGAATTCTTTGCCCTTTTCCTTTCTCTTCAAGTCATACATGTGCCAGTGGTGGAAGGAAAGATATAGTTAAGTCTATTTTACTGAGGAAAGGACATACAAAAGTAAGGAAATTTGTTCTGGATGTTAGTGTCTAGGTATTTGTCCAAATTGTTCTGTTTGAGATTAATTTAAAATGCAAGTATACATGTGTGTATCTATGTGTGCTGCTTTATTTCTGGAAAAAATGTGGAGAAACGTTACTTTGCAAACAAGTACATAAGTAGAGTAACACATTCTCCCACTTATTCTTGTTCTCTGATACAGTGCTCTGCTGAGTGTGGCACTGGAACTCAACAGAGAGAAGTAATTTGTGTTAGGAAAACTGAAGGTAATTTTGATGTCTTGAACCCCTATGAATGTTCATACTTGGAAAAACCTCCCAGCCAGCAATCCTGCTACCTCAAACCATGTGGATCTAAGTGGTTTCATACAGAATGGAGCACAGTAAGTCTATCATGCTTTCCTATATCTGTATTTTGTTTGCTACATCTCTTTCCATATATATTGAAAGAGAACACCGTTTTGGTAAAACCACTGAGCATGAAATTGATTTAATTTGTACAAGAATGATACTAAAAAGAAAGTATCATTCTTTATCCAGTGGAGCTTAGAAAAGTTAGGAAGTATCTTGACTAGAAGGAGATGCTGCATAGTTGTCTTCTTCGGTGATCTCTTCTTCAAAGAAGACAATGTAGTGTACTAAGAATTTCCTTTCAGACCTCAAGTTACTCTAAAATTAAGGAGCATTTAATAAAGAGTGAGGCATGGACTTGGGTTTTAAAGTCATTTTTACCATGCTATTTTACAGCAAGCTCTTCACTGTAATACTTAGAATTTCTTTGAGAGAAAATGTGTTGTAGAACTTCATGCATCTTCAGTTTCCCCTGGAACTGGACCAACTCCATGCCACAAAATGCATTTGTTTCAGCTGTCTTTCCATCATTTCCCATACCTGACAAAGCTGCTTGGATTTTTACCCCCAAACCCCAACATTCTTCTCCTAAATGGAAATCAGAAAGCCCATTGTCATGGTAGAATGAGACGACATCATATCTAGTGCAGTACTTACACCCCTCAAATTCACAGTGACAGCTCTGAAATGTGGATGCTCCTTGATAATTTAATTTGAATTCCCTTAATCAGGAACCTTTGGAAGTATCTCATCCATGTGAATTAAGAGAGAAAAATTATTTGGGATTGGGTTGTGGGTCTTTTTTAACTAAATGCTCAATTATTTGAGAAATTATTTGGGATTGGTTGTGGTTTTTTTTTAACTAAATGCTCAATTATTTGAGTCCCCTACTGGCAGCACTAGAAAGTGGAAAAGAAAGTAGAATAGTTTTAACAAAATAAATCAGCTGAAGGGAATCCTAATTTTTCTTCCTTAATTGCAGGTATATAGGTGTTTATTTGAAAGCAGTATCTAAGTTAGGTTCATAATAAAGCCATGCAGATTGAAGTGTGTTCTTTGGGGTTGCTGGAAGTTGTTTGGATTGTTAATTGAACTGTTTAGAGCAAATAACTTCCCTTTAGCAAGCCCCTTAGCAAATCCATTTTCAAATGTGAACCTGTGGGTGTGAAGCCACAAAAGATAAAACTGTCTGCATCCATAGAGAGCAGCAGATAGGCTCCCTCTGAAAGTGAAAATATGTGCTGTCTTTGGCAGGCAGGGAAGAGACAAGGTGCTAACTTACTCAGAGTCTGATAGGTATTTAGAGATCCCTGTTTAAGTGCTGATTCTTGAGAAGTGGCATCTAAAAGGTCTAAGCCTTTGTGGCCATCTTCACTGCAGGAAGAAATACATATGCTAGCAGAGGTTTTACAAAATCATCTTCTAAGTGTTTTTCAATTCTCCTTCTGAGAAACCTGGTGTCCCTGCTCACTGCAGGGGAGGTTGGACTAGGTGGCCTTTCTAACCCGAGCTATTCTGTGGTTCTATTCTATATTGTTACTGTTATCAGCAGAGTATGTGGTATTTCTTACTGTTAGACCTGAAGAGAAAAGATTATGGAGTTAGCTCTGAGCCCAATAGCTAGTTCAAGGCCCCTGTACTAGGTTTTGAAACTGTCCAGTTTATATCTTCAGCAGACCTTTTGTATGACCTAAAATAAATGGCATGGCCTCTCCATCATGGGATTGAGTGGCTGTGGAATGCAGAATTCTGTGCTTTGTGCAGTGTGTTGATATCTCACTTCCATTTCAGTGCTTAAATTGTCTACAAACCTGAAGTTCTTTCTGCTGGAGGTAGAATAATTACAGTATTCTATACAAAAGTAAATCTTCTAAATGTTCTATTGCTGTTGCCACAGGGCTGCCCTTTCTAAGTGGGGAAAGGTTGTACCTAAAGAGCAGTTTAGGAATATAGTGTTGAGACTATTTTGGTTAGTTTGCTACAGCATCTGATTTTATGCTTGTGATAAGTTGTTTTTGTAAAGTTAGGAAAAGAAGTCATTATGCCAAAAAAGTCAGCAAGAAAACATTCTTACTAGTTTGGGGCTATTAAGGTTTCAGTCATTATAAATTACACAGATTTAATGAACTTTGTGAGCATTAAGGTCAAACTGGACAGTGAGCCAAATCTCAAAGACCTCACTCAGGCAAAATTCTTGAAGTCAGTAGGGGATTTGCTTCAGTAGGGGCAGAAATGTGTAATAATTGGCTTTAAAAATACCATGACAAACAAGTACAAAAGTCTCTGGCTTCATAACAGACTTTGAAGGAGCACAGAAGTATTTTCTTTAGACATTCAAGGAAAACCATAATGCTTGGTTAAATTGTTGTGCTGCAAGAAGTGACAAAAATAATTGAGTGCTAGAAAAAAAAAGGCAATTAAAATTATTCCTGCTTGTATATAAATGGCAAAAGGGCAGAGGAGAGCAGTGTAGTCAAGTAGTAAAGTTCAGTGCAAGAAGTTCTTAATCTAGGAAATGTGAACACTAGAAAGAGTCAATTTTAGAGATATATCTAAGTAAGCAAAGAAGAACAATACTAATTAAAGAAGCAGGAAGCTAACCAATAAATTGAGAGAGGGAAATATCCCAGTTTGCTTTGAGTTGTGTAGTGCCCACCATGTTTACTTGTCCAGTTGTTGCTCCCATGATCAAAGATATTTTTTGAATCTTTAACGAAATTGCACCTGTATATGAAGGACTTCATAGGCAGAAAAGAAAAATCAGTAGTGATGAAGATGGTAAAAGGCTACAGTGAAGCATGCATCTGGCTTCGAGTTCCCTTTCTGTTCCTCTTTCTGTATTTCCTCTTCTCCTATGGTCTTTGTGAACTTTAGCTTTATTGTTTCAGTGTTCCAAATCCTGCGAAGGAGGATTTCGGGTCCGAGAGGTTCGATGTCTATCGGATGACATGGCAGCCAGTTCTCAGTGTGATCCACAGCTAAAACCAGAAGAGAAAGAATCCTGTAACACACAAGATTGTATCCCTGAAATAGGTAAAGGGGAACCTTCTGTTCTAACTACGGAACTCCATCTAGTGGAGAAAACATTTAATAGTCTTGCAGAGGTTATAAAAGTATTTATCGAATTCAGGGTTTTACTTTTACACAAAGTACAGCTCTTTTCTGTGCTGTAAAAGTAGGTTTTCATTTCTGATTAAAAATGTTGTCCTTGGAATATGTAAGAAACTGACTTACTTTTGAAGTTGCTGAGAATGTGAGAGATCTTCTGTGAAAATGGTTCATACAGGGTGTTTTTCTGCAGCCTCTTAGCATTCTCCAAGATTTCTCTTGGCAGAATCTTTGAAACAAAAAAAAGGATTGTGTATGATATACTGCATTTGGTAACAGGTTCTAAAAGAGCCAACAACATTCAACTAAGGCATGAAGTGCAATTAAGCAATTTTCTTTTATATGTATTAAATACACCCATACACATAACTTGGCATCAGAATTAGCCATTCACCTCATACAGATTTGATTTAATAGTAATGAGAATGACTAGGAAAGGAAGATGCAAGGACTTAGAAAAAATTTTAACTGCTAGTCTTCTACAACAATTTTCAGTTGAGAATTCAACATGGTTTAAGGTAACTACATAAAAAACCTGAGGAAATGGGGTTAGGTACGTATCGTCCACCATTTATCTATCATTATATTAAATGTAGAAAATCTTGAATAATCTAAGTTATTTGCATAGGTAGCCTATTTTAACCTGAAATGAATTTTAAGTACAGATCCAAGGGATTTTACACGGTAAAAGAAATGGGGTTGGTTATTTGCTGCTCTGTTTTCTTCAGCTTCTTCTCTCTTCATTTTTCTCCACAGATGAGAACTGCAAAGACAAATACTACAACTGCAACGTTGTGGTTCAGGCCCGGCTCTGTGTCTACACCTACTACAAAACAGCCTGTTGTGCATCCTGTACACGCGTGGCAAACAGACAATCAGGGTTTCTAGGACGTAGATAACAAATACTCTTCTGCTCAAAGCAGCAATGTCAGTCTTCAGACAGAGCTTGAACAGTGTTACTGGTTTGACTACAGCAGTTTTAGCTTCTTAGAGATGGGTTTTTATATTGCTGAGTGCATCAAGACTGTGGTTAAATCTCACACCCTTTCAGTTACAGTTATTGTGCAGTTATCTCTTTTAAAATGTTTGTTGTAAAACCATGATCTTTTTTAAAGCATTAGTTTTTAATTATATTATTATTTGCACCTGCTCATCAGATAATTATTTAAAGAACATACCAGCCTTAATCTTGTGAAATTAATGAAAATCGAATCAATTGCAGGCACGGACTGGAGGTACTTGACCAGTGTGGATGCAGCTGCTGCATTATTTTATGAGTGCTTACTTTTACTTGGTATTTTGGACTGCCTTAAATTAGATGATGAAATCAATGAAACATGCACACAAGAAAAATTACTTCATAGAGAACCAGCCCCTTGAAGACCCATTTATCATAAGTTTCTTAGCACTCTAACATATATTTTTAATTACTTCAGTCTGTTCATAATAAATTAGAGTCACTGTTAAGCTCTCTCAGTTGTACTTTTAACTAACGTCCTGTCCTCAGGCAGCAAATACATACACACTTGACTGCCAAAAAGTGCCTTTATATTTAATTCATAAACACTTGAAGATACACTTTTCTAATTTTATATGGATTTTACAATACATTACCTACCAGAGTGACAGTACTGTCTAGCCCTTTAAGCCTTTAACCACTGCAGCTGTCAGTGAGACAGATTAACCAGAAAGGTGAAGAGCCTTTGCTGATATAAAAAGTGATTGTTTCCATTGGCAAGGTCTCTTTCCTGTAGGGCAGTTATTTCAGTGAACTGGGATCTTGCCTGATTCTTGTCTCTGCACTATTATTAACAACTACCATACCAAAGTACTTTGCCCAGACCTAGTCTGGATATGTCACCAGTTTCTGAAACAGCCAAAGGATGCAGGTCTGCGTGCTCTGTAGTAGTCTGTTACTCTTGGTATCAGGCAGCAGTATGAGTGTAGTAGCTGAGTGTCTGTAAAAAGGAGATCTTAGTTATTTTGATCAATTGTTGCAACATACTTGTCTTTTTTTACTCAATGTTTCATCACACAGATCTATTCATACCACTCCTTTTCTACTACTCAAAAATGGCTCTAGACTTAGAGCTGGATTTAAGTGGTGATTTTTCATTTCTGCAATTACTGTACTCAGCCTTGGGACTTGCTAAAAAGCAAATAGAGTATGCTATGCAGTGCAGATGAGTTTTTATATTATGTGCACATTCTTTGCCTTTACTTGAGAGGTCTTTCAAATGTGTAAATAAGGCTGAGGGGAAAAAAATAAACACCTCTGCTTATTCAGCTGTTTATTACAGCATATTGCTTGTAAATGAATGATGCCCAACTATGCATCTATTTCTAAGGTGCCTGATGTCTGAGTTGAAAATCAGCTGGAATAATCTATGTTAAATCACTCCCAGTGGTGTGAAATAACAGTGGTTAAGGTGTCCTGCTACTGATGCAGAGCCATGTTTTCGCCTCATTGTGTATTCTTTTCTTCCTACTGCTTTGGTGGAGAGGATGTGAAAAGGGAATGCAGTGCTGGCAGGCAGAGGTTGCTGGGTGTGGGACTAGTCACATCAGTTTGTGTGCTGGAAGCCACAGGAAGGTGGAATTCCTGTAGTCTAAATGCTGCCTTGCATTGAGACAAACCTTTGAATTTCTTCATTTGGTCCCTTGTGAAAAATATATTCCGGACAAAATGAACTACTGCTCTTTGGCTAAATGAAATGAAGAAGTGTTTCCCCTAAAATCTGAAGTTGCTATAAACCAATAATGTTATTGGCTGCTTCTGTACGCCTTGATTTGGGCTTTCTCACTGAAAATAATTGATATAAAGCTGTTAGAAACAGAAATGCTATTTAGAAAACGTCTAATTTGAGTTCATGAGTCTTTCACCATCCTGTTCCCTTGTTATGAAGATTTTTCCATGAAGATAACAGATTTGTGATCATGTTATATTCCTTAGATTTTTGACCAAATAATGCTATGGAGATAGTGCCACATAAACAGCTCTAGAATCCAATGTTTCTAAATGCAGATTTTCATCTGTGTATCTCATTGCAGCAAATCTTGAGATACATTATATAATTTTTGCTGTTGTTTCTTTTTTTCCACAAGGAAGTGTATCCTGTCAGGTTGAGGGAAACACCTGTTCCATAAAAAGGATTTCTGAAAACCCCAAGATGAATGACATGCAGAGAGGTAATCAGGTTTGCAGTAAGTTCATAGAAAAAAATCTTACACTTCTGGCTCTGAGACAGTCAGTGTCTCAGCACATAGACAGGAGATCCTCCTCTTTTATAAGATATGTTATTTTGCTGTGGAATATGTGGTCATTAGGTTATTTTACAAAGATGATCATCTTGTAGGCTCTATTAAGCTGCCACTCAAGTAAACAGAGCTCATGGCAGCTAAGTATCAAAGACTATATACATACACATAGCAGTATAACCCTGTGTTACAGCTAATGTGTACAGCTTTGTGATTGAATGCAGTGAGCTATTGGTATATAAATTGAACTTTTTTCTTAGTGAAAAGAGTTTTCAGATGTGCAAGGTTAAAAAAAATATGGTTTCACCTAATTAAACATCTCATGTTAAGGAAACTGACAGAATGCTGCCAAACTTAATAATTTATCATCTCTCATGTGTCAGCATTATCAAAATAGTCGTTCCTGCAAAATGAGCTAATGAGCCCTTCTTCTCAGCACTTTGATGCACTAATATTGTCTGCACAAAGTAAGTGCTGTGCTGAGATTTCACCATCTCATAAAGCACAGTTTTGAAACTGTGCCTATAGCAAGTGTTTGTTTTGCTGGAGCAGTGCACCACCTTAGGATGATGGCTGCAGAGGACCTGATTTTACTTTTGCTGTAAGTCAATGGTGGCCTTAATGTATGTAGTAGGTTTAGAGCAGCTATAAAACAAATATAAATAAGAAGTAATGCATAGTTCTGATTTTGAATGCTTTAATTTCTTTTTCTGACATTTTAACATCAGTCAAAATCCAGCAGAATGGTGGGAAAAAAATGCTTCCTTGCCTTGAAGATTTTTACCTCACATACTCCAGGAAGACCAAAGTCAGATCATTTATTTAAAGAGTGTAAGCAGTCCAGCTGCTTATGGAGTAAAATCCACATACAACTTTCACATCTTACAGATGTGCAGCTAGCCAAAACCAGGTCCCTCCAGAGCAGGCTCTGTGTCCCAAAGCACTTTCCTTTTGGAATTGAGGACTGCTGGTGCAGTTGTTTATCAAGTTATCAAGGGCCCATCAGGATTTGTTAGCTCCTGCACAGTGTCAGCTTCAAGCATACGTAGGTAGAATTCCTTATGTACAGACAGCAATTACATGCCAAGTTTGAGAGCACTTGTTAGCAGCACTGGATTCATGGAGTTCTCCCTTCCTCTCACAGAAGGTGGTGTGGAAGCATGAGGGTTGCTGCTGTAGGAATGACCCTGTGTCTGACTTGGCCAGCACTGAGACAGAGTTAGTATGTGCTTTGATGTCTCTGACCTTCAGCCCCCAGGGCTCTGAGTTAGGGAAGGACTTGTTAGCAGGCAGGCAAGTGCTGGGGAGTGCAGGGCAGGAGATGTGGGTGTTCCTGCAAGCCTTGGAGTCCAGCTGTGATGTATGGCCACAGACTCCAAGCAGGATTACCTCAGTATCCCTGCACAGGGAACTAGTATCTTTCTCATTACACGCATAATCTTTTTCTTTACCCAATACTTAAGCAAATGGAGAAATTTCTGTATGAATAAAGCAGTGTTTATCATTAATGTTATTGGTTAGATCCCACTTTTGAGACAATATGGTACAGTTATATTTCAGTCATACATATATAAATGTCATTACAGCCCTGACTCAACTGAGTACATCAAAGTGGTAGAACAGAAGACCATGTGGGGCAGCCCCATTGCCAGGACCTTGCTGCTTCCTTTGTTCAAGTCTGAGTCCTAGAAAGCACCAGTGGTCACCACTGAGGAAGGAAGGAGGCAGGTGCTCAAACAGCTAATGGCTAGCATAGCAGAGGTTATGTCTTCCTGAAGGAAATACTTTGCTTCCTCTCTATAATCTATACCACTCTAAGTAGTGAAATGTTCTTTCCAGGGCATCACTCTTCCCCATCCTCATCCTGACCTGTCTTCTTTCACACCCACACCCACAAGGCTTCTCCTCTTCCTCTCATCTCAATTTAATTCCTTTGGATGACAAATCTTGCCAGAATTACTGAAAATCCTGAAGTGGCCATTTGCTTCGTAAGAATCTGTGTTAGAAATAAGCCCAGCTGTTAAATGAGCTGTATTCCTGCCAGCCCAGGGGGTTTTGTGTCTGTGCCTGTCCAAGTTGGCTAGTTTTAAATGCACAGAATGAAAGTACATACTGAATTAATTCCTGTGCAATGAACCTGTGATTACACAGCTATTGAAGTATGTTGTGGCCCTTTATTCTCTTATGTAACATCTGTTCCATAGAAGGATTATCCTCTTCACAAAGGAAAAACTGTGTGTTTACCTGGTTTTCTTGAGACTTAGTGTCTCTGGCATGTTAAGAGCTGTTCTGTGTATTGGGCAGATAAGTGATGTGCACACCTGTCATTGGAACACTAAGCATGACATTTGGAACATGAAGGTAAACTTTCTTTTTATTTTTAAACTTAGAGAATGTTTGTGGGAGATAAATTAGGTGTAATTTAGAAAATGGAGTAAAATATTTATATCTACATCAGAAATGAAAAATCATCCACTAAGCATTTTCAATACATGTTAAAACAAACGTGTGATTGTCATAATATCTCCATAGTGTGGGAGAAATTCATCCCTGGTGAAAGGGAGAAAATTCCATTTAAGAGAACTCACAGCAGACCTGAACTCAGCTCTTTGCTTCTCAGCTTTTAACAACCAGAAGTTCTTAAGAATGAGAGTTCCCAATTTTCTGTATCCCCTTGTACTAAAATGGGTTATGGATCACTACCACCATACCTGGAGAGCAGGGGAGCTTAGTTTTGATAAGTCATTGACCTTCCAGCAACAGTCATTGCTGCTTGCCCTGACCTGTTTTTCCATGCTGTGTTTATATCTCTTGAGACCAGTGGCCTTGGCAGGGTTTGGGTACATATGAGCTTGTGAAGTCCCATCATAGTCACTCAGGATCTAGACAGAGGATCAGG